AGAGAAATCAAACAAGATTTCCAAGACAACATGTTTATCAAGTAGGCATAACAAAGCATTGACTCTAACCTATCAAACAAAAGAGAGAGTTACAGACTAAAAGTTTTACGCTCTACATATAAGGTGAAACTAAAAGCACACGTCAAAGAAAAAAACATGTGAACACAAGGTATTTGATCTTTAACACCAAATCCCAACCTTTTCCACCTGTGTATAATTAATGCATGATGTACAATGTTGTAAGAAGACAATTGCTACCAAGCCAATTGTGTGCATGCATTTGTGGGATGCATGCATGCATGATTGTGATGACATGTAATTACATCATATATTTGATTTAATTTGTGTATGTTTTAATATCATTTTGCTTTACATTTCTCTTTTTATGTTAGCATTTGTGTGTGTTTAAGGCATTTTACCATTTAGAATTCATACGTGAAAAAATGAAGCAAAATATACGAAAAACAGAGGAAAATAGAGTATTTTGCACTCATGGTGACCACCATGCAAGTGGCCATGAGTGATCCACACGCTAATGGTCAAAACACCATGTCGTGGCCATTATGAGAGCATGGAATTCACCATATGGTCGATGGTGTTCTCCATACGTTGTTGACATGAAGCAATTATAAATGAGCTTCGATTGGTCTCCAAGTATCCACTTTCTCTCCTATATTTCTCTCCTATATTTTTGCTCATGCTTTATGCAACTGCCAATATGATTTTTAGGGTTTTAATTTTCTATAAATAGGCATTTTGGTTTCACTTTTGGGACATTCAACCTTAGCACAACTCTAGGTACAAAATACTGATTAAAAGCTATAACCCATCACATTGGGGGGTTATAGAACTGTTCAATTTTTTGTTGTTGTTAGGATTTGAGCACTTTTATTTGAAGCACTTTATCTCGCTGTTTTTAATTCAAAGTTATTTTCAGTTGTACCGGAATTAAAGTCTCTGTTTGGAGCAAGTTCTTAATTTATTCAGTATTTTATGCTTTATTTATCTTGCTCTCTATTTTCTCGTCTTACTTATCTCACTTTTAATTCTCTCGCAATTTAGATTTCTAAACTAATTATATTAAATTTACTGTCATGTTCGATTTCGCATTCTGATCAATTGTTTATTTTCTTACCGTGACAATGTCCAGCTAATTTGGTGATGTTGGAATGTGAAGATCATCTTTTGATAGTAAAAGTTTGTTATTTATTTAGGATTTAAATTGTGTGTTGTTTTGGTTTTAATGCAGTTTTTCCAACTTGATTTTAATATGTCACTAAGGAAGTGGGGGCAGTGAAAACGTCGGGTAAGATCGAAAGTCGTCCAACAATATATTAACAAATTGGTTTTTTCTTGGTTAATAAATATCACGAAAGAACTTTGTTAATTTATTAGTAAAGTCTAATACTTCTTGAAAGTGATTTTAAAACTATTTATGAATGCACGCGTTTATAGGTTTAGGATCCGGTTACCTGAGCAAATGCCTTAAACCCTTTTAAGTTAAACTTTCCAATCGAAATTACTTTTCAACTGAGTAAAGAGTTTAATTTCTTTAAATATATTTTACTACTTTAACACAAAAAAGCATCTGCAACTGTGGCAGCGCACAATATAATTTAGAAAGTAAATTTGGTTCTGAATACGTGAAAGCGACAGTTCATGTTTAATTTATTATTTCCATAGCATAAAATATCGCCCCTAAAATAGTCCTATTTAAAAATAATAGAAGTACAATTAATTTATGAGAATCTCATTCTAGCATTATTTATCTGAGTTTATTTATTTTTCTACTTTTAATTCTCCCGTAATTTTTTATCAAGTCTGAATTAATTTTACTACTTTATTTGCACAACCAAACATTTATTTATATTCGTGCACTCTTTGCATTACTCTAATATCTTTCGTGCATTTGCTAAATACCACATCAAGTTTTCGGCGTCGTTGTCGGGGACCAATCATGTCAAATATTGTAACTCCGTTGTTACATCGTTTAGATTAAAGCACACTTCTATGGATTACCCAAATTTTTCCTATATTGGCCATGTTAAGTATTTCGAGGGACCGCAATATCCCTATAAATCAAACCTCGAAATAATAGTAGAGAATTTTGTTAACATACAAACCCTCTCTAGACTAGAATCTGTGATGCATAGTTTTTTGACAACACAAACCATCCATAATAAGGAATTTAGAAACCAATTTCTCCATGTTAATGAAACCCTTAAGAAACTAAACACTGCAACCGAATCCCTAGTAACTAGAAATAAGGAATTAGAGACAAAAATATCACTGCTTACACAAGCACCTTTAGGATTCCCCATTAGAAGCCATGAAAATGTTACGATAACAAGTAGTGAAAAACCAGTTCAAAACCTTAAGGGAGAAAATGATATGATTAAAGAGAAACGCAGTAAACCAGAGATTAGAAATGTTTCTTCACCAGATTCGTTAGAAATAAAGACAGGTTCGCAGCCAGAAAGTATAAATCCCCGCATATAAGAGAGAAATTTGAGAAACATATAACTAGAGTTTTTAAAAACAAAACCTTGACTTTTACAAGTGAGGAAGTTGACGCAAAATTAAGATAAAAAATCGAACCTCCCCCAGATCCAAGAAATGAACCACTCTATAATGGAAAGAAAAGGAAAGGTGAAGGATATGAGAGATGGCTGGATAAATGGCCTTGGAAACCACATATGGAACTTAAACCATATCCTTAGCCGTGCTCCTGACATGAAACGAAGTGTTGCATTGGAGGAAACCAATAGTTTTCCTTTTTCATTATTTTTCTTTTGACACGAGGAATTATTTCTTCTAATATGACTAACTTGTGTGATTTTGTACATTTCATGTTCATCAATCTACATATCTTATTCTAACCAAATTTTCAAGATGCAGAATTTCGATGTCATGGAGATCCAGTTCAGAGATGACAATCAAAGGAACCGCTACACAACCTTATCTGAGAGACCTATGCTACCTACCAGATTATCCATAGGGATTGAGTCTAACATTATCCATATAGTAGCCAACTAGATTGGGACGAGTTTGCAGAATCTAAAAATATCACCTACAGAAACCTCACCCTTGATTTCCTCAGCTTACTAGTTTACAAGCCAGATGTAGGTTGTGGATTCAAGCGCGGTCAAATTTCTTTTATGCTATTTGGGAAATAGTATAGGCTAACCCACCAAGATTTAGGTAACCTATTAAGATTTCCAACTGGCCTAGTAGCCGCATCTAAAGTTCCTGTTAACCTTGATATGCAAGATACCTTAGACACCTTCTGGAATGATATCATCAATAAAGGAAATCCTGATCCATCCACCCAATTTTCAAAACATATCCATAACTCAGCTCTTAGGTATTTCCAGATGATTTTGGCCCAGACATTGTTTGGTCGAAGTGATACTAGTGAGTGTGTGAGTGAAGAAGAACTATTTATCCTTTATTGCATCATTGAATCTGATCATGTCGCGTCTGGAACCTTCCATATAGATAACCTAAACCACATAACCTTATATTTTGTAGGACCAATCCATGTAGGATGGACTATTACCCAAATTGCTTCCGCCCTTGGACTCCAAAGCAAACTAGCCCATTTAGTACCCTATTAAGGTTGTACACTTCTGGACTTAGATGATTGTCTTGTAAAGGGAATGGTACATCGAGTTTACTTCAGGATTAATGAGTACAAAATCATCATTAATAATGAAGTCGTCCAACACTTCTACCTGCCAAACCCAGAAACAATAAATGTCCATAACAGAGAAAATTGGATTTATGCTTTGGAATACCAAGGAGAAATACCTTTTAGTCCAGCCGCTCCGCTTACACCAGAATATCACCCTCTACGCTTCTTAGATAGGGCTACTACTTTTTCCTCCACTGATTCTGTAGAAGAAAGTGACTGAGACCGCGAGCTTATCATCATGCGCCAGGAGATTACTACTCTTTGAGAGGAAATCAGAGACATCACACAGAGGATGATGATTTGTGACGCCAGTCATTCAGAGGAGGCAGATTACCTTTCCCAGAAGATTCACAGTCTCCAACGCCAGCTTTTTGAGATTCATGCATCTCGTCCACATCAGATGCTTGATCCCACTTATCAGTCTATTTAGTCATTTATTAGATTTATTTCACCGTCATCTTTTTTTGTCATTAGATTTTTTAACCATTATTAGATTTATTTTCACGTTTGAACTTTATTTACCAACTTTTTCAAAAAATCTTCAAGATTATTATACTTTAATTTTCATTAAGTTTTTGGGAAAAGTTTCTTAAATTTTTTTATTATCATTATGAAACTAACCCTTGTCTATGATTATTATTACTATTATTAGATGTGTAAAAAATAAAGGGGTATAAATCCAAATAGCAAAACAAAATCCCAAAAGACTCCACAAAAATGAGCCAGTCAGGGAATTATGACGCATGGCGATTGCAAGAGCCCCTGTGGCAAACGCCACGACGCCCTGTGTTCAAACACAAACTGAAGTCGAAACAACCTCACTTCCACCATTTTTCACTATTTTCTTCACCTCCTACCCACTATCTTCCTCCATTAACACTCACCATAACTCCACCCACTCAAATTACTTCTAATAACTCACAAAATCCTTTAACCTTCCACTAATTCCCCCAATTTCCTTCTATGAAAACCCCAAATTCACAAAAAACCTTCTTCCTTCACATCATTGGCGGAAGGAAATTTAGAGATAATTTTTCGAGAGGGAGATGCTAGTACCCGACAGAGGAACAAGTTTGAATCACTATCTGATCAAGATGTTACTCCCACAAGGTATTCTGATAACACTTGTCTGCGTATTTTAGGCATTTACAATGATGTGTATTACTTGGTTGATAACTTAGGCTTGTGTAGTTTATTTGAACAAAGAGATTCCACTTATGCACTGTTAACGCATGAATTTTTGAGTTCACTTATTTACAAAGTTAGACCTGAGATTGCTAGTACCGCAGGAACCATAAATTTGTGTATGTTTAACACTGAGTATCAATTCACTACTGATGAAATTGCTGAAACGTTGAATCTTCCCCACGTGGAGGGAATACCTTTTGAGGCTCCACTTTGGGAAAATGAGGCTTTTGTGTTTTTGAATGAGATTACAAGTTTGACAACTAATTCCATTGAGGGGAATAATGCTTCGGCCATCCATAACCCGTCCATCCGTTATTTTTACCAAATGTTAGCAGACACTATTTTTAGTCGGGATAACACTAACAAAACAAATGGAAAAGAAATGTTTTATTTGCAGGTTGCTCTTGCTGGAAGACAGGTAAATTTGACACCTTTCATGATAGCTCACATGAGATCTAGCACTTCTAAGAGAGACACTATAATGTTTGAAAGCTTGATTACTTCCTTGGCCCGTTCCCTGGACCTTGATGCACAACTTGATGGTTTAGAGCCTCTGTTGCCCCGCACCCTTGATATTTAGCGTGTCAGAAACATGCGGTTTTGTAGAAATCGGAGAGAGGGTGGACGCCACCTTATGATCCATGATGAGGTTGTTAAAAGTATTTTTTTCCCTTGGCCTTCACGTATTGATGTGTGGGTAAGGGCCAATTGGACTTATAACATTGATGCTTCCGAATATATCGGCCCCTTACCTACAGTAGTTCCCGCTAACGCAGAAGCAGGTAATGATACTGATGAGAAGCTTAACAGGAAGGAACATGTTTCACCTGCTTGTCTCTCTCCAACAGCCTATTTTTCTAACCCACACCATAAGCCACGTGTTTCTGTTCATTTTACAGTTACCGTCATGTTCAATTTTGCATTCCGATCAGTTGTTTATTTGCTTACAGTGACTATGTCCGACTAATTTGGTGATGTTGGAATGTGAAGATCATCTTTTGATAGTAATTAGTTTGTTTTAAATTCTGGGTTATTTTGGTTTTAATGCAGTTTTTTCAAACTTAATTTTAATCAGTCATTACGAAAATGGGATAGTGAAAACGTCGGGTAAGATCGAAAGTCGTCGGACACTATAGACAAAATTTAATTTCTTCTTGGTTAATGAATACCGCGAAAGCACTTTGTTAATTAATTAGGAAAGTCTAATATTTCTGAAAAGTGATTTTAAAACTATTTACGAACGCGCGCGTTTATAGGTTTAGGATCCGTTTATCTGAGCAAATGCCTGAAACCCTTTTAAGTTAAACTTTCCAATCAAAATTACTTTTCAACTGAGTAAAGAGTTTAATTTCTTAAAATAGGTTTTACTACTTTAACGCAAAAAAGCGTCTGCCACCGTGATAGTGGACGGTATAATTTAGAGAGTAAATTATGATTCTGAATACACGAAAGCGACAGCTCATGTTCAATTAATTCTTTCCATAGCAGAAAATATTGCCCCTAAAATAATATTATTTAGAAATAATAGATGTATGGTAATTGATGAGAATTGCATTATAGTAATATCTGTCTGAGTTTATTTGTCTTTCTACTTTTAATTCTCCCGTAATTTTTTATCAAGTCTGAATTAGTTTTACTATTTTATTTGCACAACTAAACATTTATTTTTATTCGTCTTAAATTAACACTATAACAATAGATAACAATAGTTTGACTATTAAGTCTCTATGAGTTTGACACTCTTACTATTACTCTAATATCTTTCGTGCACTTGCGAAATACCACATATCATATTGATGTTATCTTTTTATAACATGACAAACACAAAAGTAATTATTTACACAGTGATTTTATAAATGGTAGCTTATGGTGCATACGTATACCCTAGCAATATTTGATGTGAGACTTTGAATTCTAGCTTCAATTGCACCCCGGTGGGTGGTGATAGTGAACGACTAAGTTCAAGTCACATATATTCATCACCAATGGCGTAAGTGTTAGGAATCTATGCCAAACTTATAAACGTTTATGTATATGCAGTTCTCTTGTCCAATGTGAGCTTTAAGAAGACATAATACTTATTAAAACTTGGTCACCGTGCACTAAAATAATTGATTAAATAATTTATAAATTGACTTTATCTTGTGAATCAATACAAGAGATAGTGTCTCATGAGGGTGATGCATCAGATGAGGATGAAAAAATAATATTTTTGGAACTCGAGGTTTTGTATCTTATAGATTTACTATAACTCAAATGCTTTTATTCTGGGAATTTTACTGTGTGCTTTCCATCCTTGGAGCAAATGCTTGTAATCAACTTCCACAAGATGGAAACTTTAAGTCCAGGTACCATTAATGCAGACAAGTTGTTAAGAGTTAAATTTCAGGATACGTCAGATGGTGTCTCATTTGACATTGATCTCAACTCTACCATACAGAAGGAGTTTCTAGCACAGGTATGTTTAACTTTTCTTTTTCTTGTTTAAAAATAGAAACTTTGATTTAATGAATACCTTCTTTTACCATGTCAGCAATCAAGTCAATCTGTTGGAGGGGTAATGCATTGTACTTGCGAGAAACCATCGCATGTATAACTAACTTTTGACAAGGGAAGTTCAATTAGCTTCTGGAATGATTTTTTTAATAATTTGTTTTCTGTTATATTACAATAATCCCTCTATATTTGAAGAGGTGGATTGAAAAGTTCTCTTAATATATATGGAGCATTGCACAATGACAGTCTTGTTCGGAATAAGTTCTCTTTAGATTGATGTTCTCTTTTATTATTACGTATGATTTCTATCGAAATATTTGTTAGATTTTGAATCAGACTTCTGTATAAATTTTGTATATTGCTCTTGTCAAATAAATTACACACTTGGTCTTTTATAGACCAAAATAAACTTTTACAATTCTAAAACATAAACATAACTGCTACTAATAACTATCATAACTTACTAAATTATTGTCCTTCCTACTACCATAATTAAATGCAAAACTTATTACTAACACATTTAATGTTTATTCAACAAAACTCCTCTGTAAACTTAAATGCTTCTTCTATCCAGCATTCCTATCATCTTCTTGCCTCTGTCGAAGACTTCTTTCGATAGTGGTTTTGTGAAGATATCCGCTGCTTGGTTTCTGCTTGCTACATGCCTTAATTTGACGCTTCCCTTCTTCACATGTTCACGAATGAAGTGAAATCGAACGTCTATATGTTTGCTTCGTTCATGATTCACTGGATTCCTTGCCAATTCGATAGCTGATTTATTGTCCACTTGTATTATTGTTGGACCTCCCTGTTTCAGCTCCATCTTGCTTATCAACCTTCTGAGCCATACTGCATGACAGATGCACCAGGATGCTGCCACATATTCTGCTTCACACGTCGAAAGTGTCACTATAGGCTGCTTCTTCGATAGCCAAGTAAAAGTTGTGTTTCCCATGAAAAACGCATATCCAGCAGTGCTCTTTCGATCTTCTATGTCTCCACACCAGTCACTGTCAGAATAACCAACTAACTTGTAGTCTTATGTCTTTGAATAAAACATCCCAAGTGATACTGTTCCTTGGATGTATCTTAGAATTTTTTTCAGCGCCTTCCAATGTGTGTGTACTGGCTCCTCCATGAATCGACTCACTATGCCAACACTTAGTGAAATATCTGGCCTTGTGCATGTGAGATATCGAAGGCTACCTACCAAGCTTCGATATTTGCTTCCTTCGACCCGTTCTCCTCCATCAAACTTTGACAGCTTTGTACCTGGTTCCATTGGCGTCGAAGTTGGATTGCAATTCTTCATTTTATATTTTTCTAAGATTTCCTTTGCATACTTTTCTTGTGATATGAAAATTCCAGCTTCTTCTTGTCGAACCTCCAGACCAAGAAAGAATCTCATCAGACCTAAGTCTGTCATTTCGAATTCGCTTGTCATGGTGCTTTTGAAGTCTTCGATCATCTGAACATTACTGCCTAGAAAGATAAGATCATCAACATAAAGAGAAACAAGTAATAAGTCACTTCCATTTTTCTTCACATAGAGGGCTGGTTCATAAGGACACTGCTCGAATCCATTCTCCTTAAAATATGTGTCAATACGTGTGTTCCATGCCCTAGGTTCTTGCTTCAGCCCATACAGTGATTTCTTCAGTTTCAACACCTTCTTCTCTTCTCCAGTTCTCATATATCCAAGTGGTTGTTTGACATAAATTTCTTCTTCGAGCACACCATTCAAAAATGTTGTCTTGACATCCATTTGAAATATTGGCCATTTGAACTGAGCAGCTTGAGAAATGAGTAATCGAATTGTCTCCATTCTTGCAACAGGCGCAAACACTTCGTCATAGTCAATTCCTTCCTTTTGTTTGTATCCCTTCGCAACCAGCCGTGCTTTGAATCTTTCGATTTCTCCTTGAGCATTCATCTTTTTCTTGAATACCCACTTTACACCAATGGGTTGACTACCTTTTGGTAATTCGACTAGCTCCCAAGTATTGTTGCGTTAGATTGCTCTAATTTCTCCGTCCATGGCACTTTTCCACTTCTTATCTGTTAATGCTTCTTCAACACTGATGTTTTCAGCATCTGCCAGAAGACACACAAGATGCACCTCACTTGTTGAATCATACAAATCTTGCAAACTTCTTATTTTGGGTTGTATAGGTTCATCTCCATCTTCTGTTTCTTCATGTTCTTCTGGAATACTTGTTGGTACAACTATAGTTATTTCTTCGACTGTGTCAGCAATCTCTGTCGAATTGTTCCAGTCCCACTTGCTTGCTTCGTTCATTCGAACGTCTCTGCTCACGATCACTTTCTTGCTTATGGGATTGAAGAGCTTGTACCCTTTCGTCTTCTCATCATATCCAATGAATATGTACTTCTGACTTTTGTCTTCAAGCTCTGTTCTTCGTTGATCTGGTACATGTGCATAAGCTATGCTACCAAATACCTTGAGATGAGAAATTGTTGGCTTTTGTCCACTCCATGCTTCTTGTGGTGTTTTGTCTTCTAACTTCGAATGTGGACATATATTCTGAATATAAACAGCACATTGTACTGCTTCTGCCCAGAATTCTTTCGACATGTTCTTGTTTTTGAGCATTGATCAAACCATGTCAAAAATAGTTCGATTCTTCCTTTCAGCCACACCATTTTGCTGAGGTGAATATGGTGCAGTTAGGAATCTCCTTATGCCTTGTTCTTCACAGTACTTCACAAAGGCCATCGAAGTATACTCTCCTCCTCTGTCAGATCGAATTGCTTTGATGTGTCTGTCTGTTGCCTTCTCCACCATTACTTTGAACTTTTTGAACACTTCTAATGCTTCAGATTTTTCTTTCAGGAAGTAGACCCAGGTTTTTCTTGAGAAGTCATCAATGAAGGAAATGAAGTACCTTTTTCCACTGAAGGATTCTGGAGTGATTGGCCCACATATGTCAGTATGTATCAATTCGAGTATATGTTTAGCTTGATACTCTGCCTTCTTTTGAAATGAGGTTCTTGTTTGTTTGCTGAACACACATTCTTCACAGAATTTTCCTTCGAAATCCATGTCTGGTAGTCCATGCACCATGTTCCTTTTTGCCAACCTTCTCAAACCAGCATGATGTAGATGACCAAAGCACATGCGCCATAGTGACGCTTTGTCTTGCACTTCGATTTGCAGACATTTCTCTCGAATGTTCCTCAGGTTCAGTTTGTACATTCGATTCCTTTCCATTTCGACAGCGGCAATCAGATATCCCGCTTTGTCCTTCAACTGCAGTGTTCGATCTTTCATCAGTATCGAAGCACCTTTTTCTGTAAGTTGTCCCAGACTTAATATGTTGGTCTTAAGATATGGTACATAGTAAACGTCTTCGATTGATCCAATCAAGCCATCCTTCTGTAAGTAACTAATTGTGCCCTTTCCTTCAACCTTCACTTTCGATGCATCTCCAAAAGACACACTACCATCTTCAATTCCCTTCATGTCTTTAAACAGGTGTTTGTAACCACACATGTGATTACTTGCTCCTGAGTCAAGATACCAAACACTGTCATTGGTGTTGATTTCGTTTTGAGCCATCAGGAGAAAGCCTTCATTTGATTCAGCTTCCAAGGCTAGGTTGGTTGTCTCTTCAGTCTTCTTTTCATTTCGACAGTCTTTTGTAAGATGTCCCACTTTGTCACAGTTGTAACAATTGTAGGAGTTGCAATCCTTCGCGTAATGACCATACTTCCCACACTTGTAGCATTCGAAGTTGGAGTAATTCGAACGACCACCTCTTTGACCATGTCCTCTGCCACGTCAATTTTGTTGGCTCGAATGTCCTCTTTCGAAGTTGCTACCTCTACCACTTCGACCACTGTCACGACCTCCACGTCCACGTCCTCTTCCTCGAAAGTTGTGAGAAAAGAGTACCTTTTCATCTTTGTTCGATTCCTTGGTTTGGTTTGCTTCTTCGTCTGCTTCTTCTTTCTTTTTCATCTTTCGTTGTTCATGTGCTTCGAGCGAACCAGTGAGCTCTTCGATTGAGAGCGTTGAAAGGTCCTTCGACTCTTCTATTGCACACACTAGATTTTCAAACTTGTCTGTTAAAGATCTCAAGATCTTTTCAACAACTCTTGCATCAGCTACTGTCTCTCCATTTCTTGTGAGTTGATTCACCACCTTTTGCACACGTGTGATGTAATCAGATACAGTTTATGTATCCTTCATTTGTATCCTCTCCAATTCGCCACGAAGAGTTTGGATTCGAACCTGCTTCACTCGATCTGCTCCTTTGAACACGTTTTCTAACGTGTCCCACGCTTGTTTCGACGTAGTCGAACTAGCAATCTTCTCAAAGCCTGATTCATCTACAGCCCTGAACAACATGTATAATGCCGTTTTGTCCTTCGCTCGCGTCTCTTTCAACGCCTTCGTTTGAGCTGCTGTAAATCCCCCAACTTCTGTTGGTTCTTCAAACCCATCATGGGTCACCTCCCACGCGTCTAGAGATCCAAGAAGAACTTTCATTTGGATACTCCAGTTTTCATAATTGGACTTCGTTAGTCGTGGTAACGGCATTTGGTTCATCATGTTTTCCATGAGCTCTGATGCCAAATTGTTAGATTTTGAATCAGACTTCTGTATAAATTTTGTATATTGCTCTTGTCAAATAAATTACACACTTGGTCTTTTATAGACCCAAATAAACTTTTACAATTCTAAAACATAAACATAACTGCTACTAATAACTATCATAACTTACTAAACTATTGTCCTTCATACTACCATAATTAAATGCAAAACTTATTACTAACACATTTAATGTTTATTCAACAATATTGGTATCAAAGAAGTGTCGAATTAGTCACTACATATGGAGAAAAATGCAAGCACGTTCCATTGCACCAACAACCCAGATTATATTCTTCAATAATTAATTTCTCTTATGCCCAAGTTACATTTTCATTCATTTTTAGACATTGGAATAAATGAAAGAGTCCCAAAGAGTTAAGCTACGTACCAAGAACAGTTCCATGCATAATATGGAAACAGACTGTGATGAAAAAAACCACCTAGTGGTCTTTTCAAATCAGAGTGTGATGAGAAAAATCCAC